ATTTATGTAGCCGTGGGCTGATGGTGGGATTCCTAAGGTGTTTTGGATTTCTGGGTTCTACTTCCACCAGGCATTCCTTACTGGTGCATTACAAAACTATGCTAGATAACATGTCGTTGTAATTGATATCAAATTTAAAAAATATCTAGGTATATGGGACACACAAATTTCCACTGTTTAGCTTGCTTAAGTATCAGTAGTGATTAGTAGTCGAAAATAATATAGAAAAGTGAGTATAGGACTCACGAATAATTCTATAAGTAATTATATCGTCAGGTCTCAAAACTCTAGCATACCAGCGCAGCTGGTCAGTCTACGAAATGTAATCTTTATTTAGTTAAAAATAAAAAATAAATAAAAATAGACGTTTATTTAAATGAACAGTTTAGAACAATGGTTACCAGAACAGATGTGAAAGGAATATATGCACATATTTTATATAAACTAAGTTATATTTCCAGGCTCTTAACGCTCCGCCAGCGAAGAAACCAGATGATGGTTGCTGTGTCCGAGGTCTATTATTAGAAGGTGCTAGATTTAATACTGGTGATATGACATTAGAAGAAAGCAGACCAAAGGAACTACATACCGGTTGGTATTTCAAAACTTCACTACTTTATCAGTAATTCATGTTAATGAGGTGATAAAAACTAAAATATTTAAAATATTCAATTCCAGAATTGGCAATCATATATATGAAACCGGAACAAATTCATCGTCTAGCGCAAGATTTATACGAATGTCCGACATACAAGACACTCGTTAGAGCCGGGACACTCTCGACCACTGGACACTCGACCAACTATGTAATGACTATTGAACTGGCGACTCATAAGCCACAATCTCACAGGATAAAGCGTGGCGTCGCTTTGTTCTGTGCTTTGGATTATTGAAGGATTCGGCATATGCCGAAGTTTCGGCATATTGCACTGTCCCTAATCACCCTAATCCGCGGGACTACCATTGGATAATTTCGATGAATTTTTTTCCAAATTAACGAATTTTAAAATATTTTTTTCACGATTAGTTCATAATTATTTAGTGTTCAATTTATTTCTAATTGTGAAAAAATCACCTTAAAAGTTGTTAATTTAGTTAATATTTCAGCCTTAACTTTCTTCTGATAATCTGCTTCTAATGTAGATACGTGGAATTATCCAATGATAGTTACGCGGATTCGCACTATCCCCGACGATATCATTTTTTCATCTTGACTTATTTAATCATCGTTTGATAATTTTGTCATTGTTACACTGTCTTAGATTATAATTATTTTATGTTACATAAGTTTTAATTTATTATGGAATAAAGTTTTCAAATTTATATTCTTTTTCTTTGTATTTAGATGAGTGAAGGATAAATATTTTTAGTTTCTTTCTTTTAATCGTCTCGAAAATTTTGTGGTTGGTGCTCCATTAAGATCTGTTTTTTATATGTAAATATATCATAGTATAACTATATAAATTAATAACATGGACACTACACGTATAATATACAATACATAATTGAAATTTAAAGAAATTCTTTTATTTAATATATATTACTGTCTAGGCTGTTGTACCTTTAAAATATTACTAAGTACTTATTTACATTGATTTTGGAATACTGAGAAGTTTCATCTTATCAATGTATTTAATTTTTTTTTGTTTCTTCTTTGTATCTTATTTAGCAAGTAACTATTTCTGAAAAATCCATGAGATGTCAATAAAGTACTTCTGACAGTAAGCTTTAAACAATCGGATTTTAATTACAGGGCTCCAGCGTGAAAATCTACGAACTAGAAATCTTATTTTTAACTTCATTTTCTTTAGAATCTTGTTAGTATTCACTCCTTGCATTTGGAATACTGAAAAAAATACAATACTTCATGTACCATATGATGATTTTTTGCTTCTAATATCCTTCACTAGCTAACAATTTCTACGACATATTTACAATGTATTCCTTATGATTGCGTTTAATGATCATGTGTTGTATGGTATGTTATTTATCAAAAAAAAAAATGGGTTGGACTATCCTTAACCCGGATTATGTGAATATTTTATTGTAATTTTTAAATTAAATCCTTAATTTATTCCAAGCGCAATGGCTAGTTGAATATGTTCTCATTTTAAAACGTTTGGATTTCATCTGAAAATATTATTTTATATTCTTATGTAAAATATAATTAATAAAAATCTTAGAGAGATACCTTTGCAAGCATTACTTATTCTGGGTTGTGCCTTTTCTATGACATACTTTATATCAAATAAAGTAGAAAAAATGGCAGTATTAAGTAATGGTCCAATCTAAATCGGCAAGAATTAATTAAATTAAATATCTTGAAAGTTAAATCAAGTAATAAAATGTATCTGTGATCTTAAAACTATTTTCAAAAACTGACGTAATAAGAAAGTTCTGGAAACTGTAAGAGTTTCGTCATTCATTCCTCGAAAGAAATCCGACCTATTATCACTTTCAGAAAAATTATTACAAATAATTAGATTTGTTTCTTTCATATTTGTTAACAAATTGAAACGTAAATGTGTGTATGTCAAAGCGAACTTAAATAAAGAGGATACAATTTTAGATAGAGTGGAGTAATTAAAGCATCATTTATATTTATGGAGGTGAATAATAAATAAGTGGGTATGTTTTATTGTAAATTCTTAACTTATGCGCATTTACTAATTCATGGAATAAGGTTTTGAATTTTTTTTTTTAAATAATATGTGAAGGTTGGTCAACTTTACTTGAATTTGACAATACATCTGATTGTAGGCAATATATTTTTGCTAGTGTTTGTGTGCTATTTTATTTGACTTATTTGCTTTGTCAAGTATACATTACTCCTTGCAATAAGTGTAATAATACTGGTCAAAATAAATGGTAGTATTGTATACAGTACAATATTTATTTATTTACTATAATATTTACAGTAAAATGTGTGCCACAATATCGAATGTTGGTCTTATTCATTAATTTGATATTAAGTTAGTTAAATTACGGTATTTTTTTAAATCTAACACCAGCTAATATATATACCATTTGAAAAGACAGTTTATAAATAATAATGTTTAAAATACATATAAATAATTGTGTAGTCAAGTGGACAATCTATTTTTTTATTCATGCCAATGGCAAACAACCAAACGGCTTTTCTGACCTTAGGTGGTTAATATGTGCTCATTATTAACCTTTCAGATACTCGTATCAATTCAGTCCTCTCTTGAAGAATTTCTTATTTCTTTCGATAAACTCATTATGGTGTTAATTCCATAGCACCAGTTCGAGGAAGAAAATTCCTCTGAAACCTTATTGTGCGCGATCTTATATAATTTTTTGAGGTCCTGATTACAATAATAAAAAAATCTCAAACTTACAAATATGTAATTCATAACATTTCCAGAATACTTAGTGCTACTACAAAAGTTATGTGAAAAATTCGATTTATGATCCATTGTATGTGCCTCGAGCAACGTTGCAACTACTATTTGTTTCAAATACTGCAAGCTAGTTTATTTGTAAGATAAATAGAACACTCAAAACACTTGAACACGGGAAAGTTATGGACAAGATTTAATTGGAATATTATTTATTACTTTATTACTATACTATTACTTATTTCTAATATGCAAATAACTTTATATGTTTATAACTGAAGAGTTTGGAAACGAAACGATGGGTAAGATCCGTTAAGCAAAACTATTAAACCAACAAAATACAAAAAAAGAAACTAATTAGGTATGCACCGTCTAAATAAGTTAAGTTATCAAGTGCAGAACAACTTATTAATCAGACAAAATATGTAAAGTATACTGGATGATATAGATACATCTATACATCTGACCTCCGTAAAGTTTGGTATATACCTTACATATATAAACTGAACTGTACTAATATATATATATTCCCTGCAACACAGTGTCTCTGTAACTTAAAAAATTTGCTTTTTCAGTTGATAAAATGTGTAAAATCTTGGGTCTTGGAGTTTTACACAATCAATGCGTTTTACGTAAAAATTTTAATAATAGTTGAATATTACTTATTTTAAAATTAAAAGATATTTTTAATTAACATACGTCTTTGGAATAGGAAAAGGCCAATAGACCTCCGTGCACTTCAGAAATCGCTTATTAAAATAAAATAAAAGACGGTTGGACAGGTATTATAAATGTATCAATAATTATTGTCAGTGTCGGCAACTAAGTGCTTTTAAGTCAACTGATATTTTTTTTTTTTAGTTTCGACTTAACTTATGCTGTTAGCCCTAGTGGCTTTTACAGCGTCACCGAGAGGGGTGGGTGGTCCTGATGGGACCGACCCGATTTAATTCGGGCCCGAAGGGCCCGACCAGGGGGCAACTGATAGTATCAATTCATACAATGTCAATTAAGTCCTATTTTGTTTAATGACAACAGCATTGATTCAAGTAATGGTATCAATAAAGTAAGGGTACAAGGAGGAATCATTGGTCAAAGCTTAATTTTGTCCATCAATACACTCACTCACTCTCTTGTAATAAACTTAAAAATTTATCGAATAATGTAATTTTTTTTCTAAAATTATACTAGTTGTAGATTTCACGAGATATTTGCTAAATTATAATCTACACCTCGAAGGCACCCTCTGTAGAAGGGGTTCACGTGATGATGGGTCGTGGATCAAAGGAGCCTGAAACAAGGCAAAGGGAACCGAAGCAGCCTGGACCTAGGATCCCTGTCCCAAGTGATTGGACATGGGGAGTGGACAAAAGCTGTTCAACGTGCGGGAAGCCAGGCCATAATAACAAGGTTTGCCGCTATAAAGGTTTTACATGTCGGAGATGTAAGGAAAAAGGACATCTGCAACGGGTTTGTCCGAGGTCGGGAAGCCCTAGAAGAGGAAAGAAAGTCAACCATGTGGCTGCCTCTGATCGATCGGACGGTGATAGCAGTTCGGAAGAGGAGTTGCATCAACTCAGCTTAAATAGTTATAAGCCGGTAAGCTTAGAAATATGCATAGATAATATTGTATTAAAAATGGAAATAGATACAGGGTCTGCAGTGTCATGCATTAGCAAGAGAACGTATGATAAATATTTTAAGCATATAGTAATAGAAAAAAAAAACTTAACCTTTAAGTTTTATGATGGTAGCTCGATACAGCCGTTAGGGATAATTAAACCTAATGTTTGTTATAATAATGTATGTAAAAAATTAGATTTATTTGTTATTGAAGGGGGAACTACGTCGTTATTGGGGAGACAATGGCTGTCCGAGCTAGGAATACAAATACCCTCTTTTCATAAAAATATTAATTGTGTGCAAAAGTGTACTAATTTGTCGAATTACGATGTAAAAACTTTAATTAACAGATATGATCAACTGTTCAGTGGCGGGCTGGGGTGCTTCACGGGCGGCAAGGCTCAGTTGCGAGTGTGGGCGAACTTGGAACCATATCAGTCTTTGGCTCGTTTAGCTCTGGTGGCGGTCTCTCTCCACACGACTCCTCTCTGACAACCGGCTCACCCATTCTTGGCATCTTTGGACTATCGCTCATGAGTGCCGGTGTCCGAACCCCAGGGGAATCATGCTGCGATGGAGTGTATGGAGCAACTATGGAATTACGCGTAGATCTCCGTTTTAACTGATCAATATGTCTGTGCGATCCTCTCCCTACATCATCTAAAATGCTATAATCCGTCGCGCCTAATCGTTCTATAACCTTACCCGCGCCGACGGCTTATCGCGACTGCCCGGCCGCAATGTGAGCGGGGATGACTCACCTCTCGATCCGCCCGAACAGACTTATTTACACTTCGCTCAAAGTGAATTATTGCTCGATTATAATAAAATTAAACAACAAACATTGCGAGATCCTTTATTAGGGAGAGTATTACTTTATATTAAAAGTGGCTGGCCGGATCAAAATGAAATAAGGGAATTGCAACCTTATTTTAATAGAAAAAAAGAGTTATACGAGGAATTAGGATGTATCATGTGGGGTCATAGGGTGGTAATTCCTGAAAACTGTAGGGATAGGGTTTTAATGGATTTGCATGAACCGCATATGGGGGTTAGTAAAACTAAAGCGATGGCCCGCAGCTACGTGTGGTGGGCGGGGATCGACGAAGCGGTGGAGGCGGTATGCAAGCAGTGCGAAGTGTGTGCCGCGGAGGCGGATGCACCAACCCGTCATACTGTAAATCCATGGCCGTGGCCTTCAAGGCCCTGGTCACGGATTCATTTAGATTTTTTGGGTCCTTTTCAAGATAAAATTTACTTAATTTTAATTGACGCGAGAACTAAGTGGATCGAGGTATATCCTGTTCCTAGTACCGCCGCGCGTTATACATTGAATAAATTAGAGGAAGTTTTTGTGAGATGGGGGCTACCGAAGCAGATGGTAACCGACAATGGTCCGCCATTTACAAGTACGGATTTTTCAAAATTTACAAATAAATTAGGCATAGAACATTTATTTTCAGCTCCTTACCACCCTGCGTCAAACGGTGCCGCCGAAAATGCTGTACGTACGATAAAAAAAGTAATACGAAAGGCAATCCGTAAAAAAGAGGACATTCAATCATTTCTTAACACGTTTTTATTACATTACAGAAACACGGAACATAGTACTACTGGGGAAAGCCCTGCTTCTCTAATGTTAGGACGTAGTTTACGTACAAAATTAGATTTACTTAGACCAGATAGGGATAAAAAAGTGAAGGAAGCCCAAACGCGTCAAAGGAAGTTAGGAACAGAGAACAGTCGGTCTTTAGAGCCGGGAGAGAATGTGTGGATGCGACAGTATCAGGGCGCTAATAAATGGGTGGCGGGTAAGGTTATAGAACGATTAGGCGCGACGGATTATAGTATTTTAGATGATGTAGGGAGAGGATCGCACAGACATATTGATCAGTTAAGACGGAGATCTACGCGTAATTCCATAGTTGCTCCATACACTCCATCGCAGCATGATTCCCCTGGGGTTCGGACACCGGCACTCATGAGCGATAGTCCAAAGATGCCAAGAATGGGTGAGCCGGTTGTCAGAGAGGAGTCGTGTGGAGAGAGACCGCCACCAGAGCTAAACGAGCCAAAGACTGATATGGTTCCAAGTTCGCCCACACTCGCAGCTGAGTCGCCGCTGCCCGTGTCACCGCCTCGGATACGGCCAATACGCAAATGTCGTTTAGTTAAACCATTGCATGATAGTGTTAAATAATTTAATATATTGTAAGTTTACTTAATAATAAATAAGTTAATATTAACATTTAAAAAAATATATATATGTTTAAATCTTATGACTTAGGTTAAGCTAATTGTATTCGGCTAAGGGGTTGTATTGTATAGAGGGGAGGAGTGTAGTAAAGTGGGTAATTTGATATAACTTGTGTATAAGATTTGTATTTAATAGACAGTTTGTGCCATACCATTTCATTCGTAATATAGCGGTACTCAAGCAGCAAGTATATTTATTTCTCCCTATTAACGATAGTTCAGAACCCATCTAATATGTGGCACAAATACTTATATAATTTTTCCGATAAACATTGCAAGTAATTTCAGATCTACTGCTGCCTACGATATAAACGGTTGCCTTAAATCATCAAATCTATGGCACTATATTGAGAAATTTCATCTGGCAACAAACACGAGAGTTGTAATGCTAAACGATAAATCTGCTGCGGATTTCTCTGAGCAATAGGGAATATGCATAAAATGTTAAATAGCCTAAAATATTTTTTCTCGAATACTTATTACCGTCATTTTATAATGAAAAGGCTTTTCTTATTTGCTTATTATTCAAACCCCTAAAATAATATTCAAAACGGGTAAAATAACGCAGCGAGATTCAAACTTCCAAGCCGCGCCAAACCATTGGTCGAACGAAATCTGACGTCATCTGATACAACATTGCATTCATCAGCGTAGAAACTTAAGTATAGGTACTGTTTTACAAGATTTAGTGAAAAAAATATAATTTTAACCTGTATTCCCCCACGACACAGGTCTCCTAGTGTGGGGTCCAAAGATAATCAAAATTTTAAAATTGCTAAAACCATAATGCACCTCAACCAATGGAAAACATTGTAATAGTTTAAATTAAGTTTAAGAAGGTTAATTGTGTCATATGTTAATCTATTGTGTTTTTTCAATAAAGTTTATTATTATTGTTTATGATTGTAGTTTAGACTCATTTTATTTAATTTTGTTGATGGTTATTAAGTTGTGTTTACTAGGAAGCGGAATATAAAAGAAATGTAACAAACACGACTTTCTTTTTATATAGATATAAATTTACTTTCATGTTTTCAAAATACTATTGTAGTAGTTCCTACTACATTTGTACCGTTCTTTTTACCGTTACGATGCTGTATACGGAGATTTAAATTAAGATATGCCTAAATAATTTTCTTGTTTTATTCCCTGTGGGGTTCTTATTCCTAATTTAGGATTTGTAAAAAATCGTCGCATCATATAACCGAACTCCTCATTTGTAAATTGTACCCCACACTTTCTTTCCACGTTCCAAGTGAAACTTAAGAACTATGTATGTATATCTGGATTCTGGAATGAACTTATCCGTATATAATGTATATTATAATCCAATAATACAAATTATTATGAAGTACAAGGATGAAGATTATAAATCAAAATGCTTAAAAGACAATATTATTGAATATTTATTTTAATTATATTATTAATTTAAATTAAAACTGAGATTACACCGTCTTGGACAAACAACTGTTCAAAACGACTCTGAGACGAACCAAATAATAAACTTTATTGACATTGAGAATTAAACAACAGAAAGTATACATAAGGACATATACATATTTTATAATTTTAACAGTTCCTTTGCAGCCTTATAAAATTCCACAAGATTATAAATACTTATAAATTATAGTGTTACGAAAGTGTTATTTGATTTAAAAATAAACAATATATCTTTATTTAGTAATAACCAAATTTCCATAAACATATATATATACCGAGGGGTTTACCAAACGTTGAATATAAATGGCGCAAGGCTATAGAGGCCCCGGCGTCGGGACGTGACGACCCCATCGCCCACCGGTGTATTCCGGTGCAATTAGTCTCGTGGGGTCTTGGCCCGGGCTGGGGGTGCAGCCCATGGAGGTGGGTAGGACGAGGCTCGGCGGTGCACACCGCCGCTGCCAAGTTCGGCCCTACGTGTTGGCGGGTGGCCTCGGCCACTGTCGGCGCAGTCCGGCGTCGGGACGTGACGACCCCATCGCCCACTGGTGTATTCCGGTGCAATCAGTCACGGGGGGGAGGGCTGGGGGTACAGCCCTGGGATAAAGACGGTCACGGATCTGGCAGGAGGCCGTCCGTGGCTGTCTTGGGGGGAGGGGATACTCGGGTCTCTCCGGAGGCCTGAGTTCGCTTGTGGTCGGTCGGTTTCCTCTCTGTCTGCCGTCGGGCGCTTGCGCTCGTCGGTGGGTGGTTGGAGACTGGCCGCGGCGGCTTGGGTGGGAGGGGTAAGGGATTAACCCTCTCGCGATTAAGCAAGCCCGCCAGGCGGGGGGACACTCCTGGTCACTTGGAGTGAGCCCTCGGGGGGGGAGGTGGCCGTTCGCGGCCCGCCGCCGGATCGTCGCGGATGCATGCTTCGGCGTTTCCCGTGGCGATCCACTTGGCGGCAACAGAGAGTGACCGCTGGTGTTTTAGTGGGTAACATGGGCCCTTCTGGCCGTGAATCCCACATAACCGCCTCCGTCTCCCCTAGACGGAGGGGTAGGTATAAAACCTTTCACCGCGATAACAAAAAAAAAAAAAAAAAGGCTATAGAGGCCAGGATATATAATACATGAAATTAAAATCGGAATATATGATTAGACTCCATTGTTACTTCTCTTAAAACTCTAAAATATTGTAAATAATAAAGCTTTGATCGTGTCTATGCCAAATTTGATATTCGTATATATCAGCATGTTTTACACATATTTATAAATAAAACTAATTATAGATTATTGTATGGTGAACAATTTTTGTCTAACCTATTTGAATGATAAAACTTACCTTTAAATATTTTTGACTTACTACATAATTGTTTATTTTATAAAAATAGCATCTAAAAAGGTGTATTCTCTAATTTCTTTGATACTTTTGTATTATTGTAATGTTAAGTGTATTTTTATTAATTATGAAGAATAGATATTATCGTATATTTTTGCAGCAGTGTAATATATAGCGGCCAGACAGTATATATGTATAATATTTACACACAAATATGATATACAAGTAAAATGCCAATCCATAAAACGGTATCGTTCCGAGAAAGTTTCAGGTTCTGCGCCACCAGGTGCTGGAATGACTTGCCTCCTCCTTTTCATGACCTGAAATCGATAGGAAATTTTCGATATAAATATAAATTATATTTATTAGATAAAAGAAAAATTCTTAAACTTAATATGTATTAATTGTTATAACTATTTGACGTTTTTTATTTTTACTCATTTAATCCGTTGCAGTTTTGTTTAGCTATTTATATTCTAATTATATTTGTATAGACCACTGCCGATAGCTCTTAAAACATAAATTAATTATAGTAGAATGAAACTCATTAGAAAAGGAGGGGAATATTATGAAAATTAAAGGAAAAATAATTTACGGGTGATCTGAGGTCGGGAAGGATACGGGGATGGGTATTTAAGGGTAAAAAATGGGTTTTCTCGATTTCCGGCAAAACTAAAAGTCCTAGGAAAAAATGTTATATGTCAAAGTTGTAGGTAATAAAAAGACTTACAACTTTTATATTAACATTTTTTTCACATAACCTCAATATTTAAGTGAAAAATTCAAAAACCAAGTTTTTGGTTTTTTATTTTTATCTCTTACAAAAAACAATATTTTGTCACAAAATTTAGTGAAAACTTTACTTTTGATGTTAAAAATACACTGTAATTTATTAGATTAGAAATATTTATTTTTTCAGCTTATTTTGAATAAATATTGAAAAATCAGTCTCATTTTCAATCTAAAAATCACCCTTCAAAATATTAGCTATATTCAAAAAATTGGTATGTTTTCTATTTGTTGAAATCTCTATTTTCCGATGGTGAAGAAAAAATATGAGTTTCTTACTTACAGTACCATTTTTGGATAAAATAATCAAGTCTCTTTTAATGAAATGACACTCGACATCGTTTTGAAAATGCTCTTTTTAATTTATATTTAATAGTTGTGTACTCTGGAAATTCTTCAGATAGTGCCTCATTTAGGAAATTTCAGAAAATTGACATTAAGCTGCCAAAATGACCTCTTTTTCAAATGAGTTTCATTCTACTATAATTTATTTTAACTTTTCATTAATTTTAAAGGCTTCTGCACTGGCCAAATAGTCACATATGTATGTATATTCTACATTAATTTTGTCTAAATTTATAATGTATGTGATTTTAATAATAATATAGCAAAATGGAATTAATTATAAAAAAATTACATATTATATAGGTACCTGTTTATTTTCGGCTCGATTGCAATAGGCAAGTATCACGGCAGCGCCTGGTGATCGCATGACCTTGGCTTCCGCGCTCAACTGCATTGATTTTTTCCGTTTTTTCCATAGGATGTCATCTTAACTGCCTTTTCTCCTATTTCGTATAGTTTTTATGAGTTATATCTTTAAGAGAAATTAGTATAAATTATTATGTTTGATGTTAATAAGATATGTTTGGTAAATATAATGTTGGTTTTTGTTAAATTAAAATGTCCTTGGTTTATTCTAATTTCATTACAATTTCATATTATAAATATTTATATCTATGATGTATTTAATATTAATATGTCCTACCTGATATTTGCCTAGTCCAACCGCTTATTAAAAACATAATATTACAATTTATTTTTTAGTCACTGTTGTGTATTTTATTGTGTTCGTTTTGAATACATTTTGATTAAATAAACAAGATGCTTGTGGTATTAGCCTTTAGACGCTGCGGGCTGCACTAAGCGAGCATTGAACAGTTGTAATATATTATTATCTAAATGTTACACCTGCGTAGCAAGCGCGATAGATATCATCTTCTTATATTATATGTTTAATGTGGTGTTTATTTTAATATTATATATTATTTTATATGTATTGTTATGTTTAAATTTAACAATGTTAATTTAATGTAATTGTTACCGCTGTCAGTACCTCAACATCAGGAGATCACTGTAAATCGGTGTAGAAGCAACATTGCTTCTTTTTTT